GTTTCCTGAAAATTTCTGCATCTTCGAGCCTCCTGCGCAGAAGCATTTCTCAAGCCTAGACTGTGAGCTGTGTAAAACACTGGGGGGGGGGGGGACGTTAAAAGATGAACTATTTATTTTCCAACGTCCCCCCCCTAAAAAGGTGGGGAATCTCCAAACTTGCTTCTGGACTTTGAAAATCTTGATCTGAAAGCAGAGGCGTTGTTTCGTTCATCTGAGCCGAGCTGTGTGCTCCGGCTTGCGTGGCAAGTCACAGATTTCCTGTCTGAAGAGTCAGTACCATCATCCACAGCACTGCGATCAGGGCAAAACAGCAACTCTTCCTTGTGTGTTTTGCTGTACTTGCCAGCAGCATACCTTAAGGCACTTTGCAGCGCCCCTGGAAGAGATGCCCAGCATTGTGGCGCAAGGCAACGTCAAGCACCATATCTGGGGTTCGTTCGACAATGTTCGACATCAGATTTGGCTTGGTGTCATCCTGTGCGTAGGCGATTCGGTCGACTGGAACCAGACATCGACCTCCCAGCAGCGAGACAGTTTGGAGGCACGTCTTGTGCTTCAGCTTGTGTGGTTCCAGGGTCGTGATGGCGTCCTCGATCGCAGCTTCTCCGGTGTTGATGGCACACACACACACACAGGAAGCAGATGTCAACCGCATGGGCCGGGATGGACTGGACCCGAAGAATGCCTAACCTTCATGCATGATGTGTTCAGAGTTTCAAGATGACACGGGAGTCTTCTTTTGGTGCAGCTCCAGATCTCAGCACCATGGATGATCTCAGAACGAATGCTTGAATAGTCGGCAGTAGGGGGAAGCTCTGGCATGAATCTTAACTGGCAAGCATCATTCCACAAAAGACCAGCAGCCCTATCTATATTCATTTCGTATGAACGCTCCTCCTCCTCCTTCTCATAAGAAGATGAGATGACGATGACAATGAGGCGGAGGCGATGATGACGACGACGACGACGATGATGATGATCATGATCTTTCAGCTCTCCGCCCAGCGTGCAATCGGCTAGACTGACCCATCTGCACAGCCTTTAGCGGGCGCAATTGACACACTATCTTTGCATTCATCCATTGTCATGGTGATGCGGTGAGGGAATAGAAAGTCCCTGAGCCAGCCTGCCCATCACGTCCGTACTCCGCCAAAGCTATTCCCCAGACACTTAACCGCCAACCATAAGAAGCATGCGTTGGGACACGGTGAAGACTTGGTTGAAGGGATGCAGCTTTGAATGAGTGCAGGCCTCGCGTGCAGCGCGCCAGGAAAAGACCTTCGCGCAAGATCCCTAGAAATTATGTGATGGGAGTGCTGTCATGGATGCCCGCAGCTGCCTGAAAGCCCCGAGACGGATGATCATCGCCATCATTGAGAAGAAGCCACAGCTATGGTCGTTCATCATCAGAAATTCATTAGGTGCGCATGCCATATTGTCAGATGCGTATTGCTGGTGACGCACACCCTGGCAAAGGACAAAAAATGCCCATAGATGACTTTGTGCAAATGATGGAGGCGTCCTTTGCTTACAGGATGTGGGGCATGTTGGCAAGTGGAGCTAAGCACCAGCGACGTTGCGTGCTTCCTTTCGCTGAGGCAGATTGAAAGCGATAATCCATGGAAGGAGGCAAAGATTCAAGCACACTGTAGCATTGGGACGGAAGGCGTGCCGATGAGATTTCACCTGCAATGCATTCAGGCCCTTGAGGGGTGGGGTGTGATCCACGATGGCCAGGTCGAGGCAGCATCCGGCCTTCAGACTGCATGCCTGTGCATGCTGTTGATCCTGAGAGGTCACAAAGTTCCTAAATCGATGGGTTGTGAAGAGCGAGTCTGAAGGGTACTCCTCGCAACGCCCTTACGACGCCTTTCGACACAAATTTCTACTTTACTTCGGATTGGGCAGACAGGTTCGTCAACGACGCCATAAAGCAGGTGTATGAGGCAAGACTTACCGATCCGTGTCAGGGCAGGGCTCGATTCCAACGAACCAGGCCATTGTTGCGATGGACATGGACCTCACAGAAACCTTCAAGATGTTTGATAAAGACGGCGATGGAACCGTAGACATCAAGGAGGCAAAGCAGGCGTGAGCTTGCTGGCGGTCTTGTGCATAGCAATGGGCAATGGGGGATCCATCAGATGACTCAGTGAAGGTTCTCGAAAAGTTTGACCTGGGCCTATCGAGCTTGCCTGAGTGCTTGAGTCATGCCAAGAGTGTTTGGGGCAGCGCAAGGGAAAGAATCAGGTCTTCTCAGATTGACCGGCTGTTGGGTCAGGAGCCAACTGACAGTCGCAAACAGTTGCACAGTACAGAGCTGTGCAATGCTGTGCACTTGAAAGTCGAGGCAGTCTTCCTCAATCTTAGTCTTAACTTGGCAAGGTCAGCTGTTTGCTACCTCGGTGGTTTCGGCTGACTCGGTGCGACTGTCAGTTCAGGTATCCCCAGTGCAAGTGTCGCGCCAAGCTGATTCTCCACCTGTGCTGTTGGACATTTGTGCCAGGAGTTCCTTGGCCACTTCACCACCGTGTACTCCGCTACAAACAATGCTGACCTGCCTCGATGGTGCGCCGAGATTTCATGTTTTTGGATGGTTGTAGGATTTGCATTATGCCTGCATGTCAACTTGGTTTTACCGGAGATTAGTGTTCAGAGATTGGCGAGAGTGATATTCCCATCCGTGCAGGGTTCTCGATTCTCTGGGTCAAATCGGCCGGCTCATCATCAAGACAAAGGCGCCTGTTGCATTTCTTGCGCGAGGGCCGTTTTCAGCACAGCTGTTGGGACTGGGTATGTTGCTGAAGCCTCCGGATATCTCTGGCGCTGTTGGGCATGAATTGCAGGCGCCCAGTGCGGTCCTCAGCACTGGTGACGCGCTGGTGCAGACGGGTCCTTCCTGAACAAGAGTACACACGGTTTTGATCAGGAGGATCAAGCAAGCCTTGGCAGAGGGTAGCGTTCGCATGTCAATAGATTACATGTCATCCACATTCCTTTGTCTTGTGTGCACAGACTACTTGTCAGTTTGTCATCTTTACACGAAAGCTTTGAGGCAGTGCAGGTAGGATAGAAATTGCAGAGTGTCCTCCGAGACGCCGCAATGCAGCATGCTATGTGTGCTCTCATCCTGTGCATGTTGCATCGAATGGCCAGTGGGCAGCCGGAGCACCGCCCTCGAACGGCTGAGTTGGTGCTGCATGCAGTCTTGGTGTGTCGACTGCCTAGGCTTAAGCAGGCTGCCTGGATGCATTCGGTGGCATTGTTGTTTGTTGTTTTCAGCGTTGCAGAACAAGTCACGCGACATGCAATACATCGAAGGGCTGAAAATTTTTCAGCTACTGCGTGAGTTGGCGGGGAGGTCTTCACAATGGAAGTGAGACCAAACATATTGAAGACTTCACCAAGCGGTGGACGAATCCTGGATGGAACTTTCTACTGCGCGTTTTGGTGACTGATGGCTGTCCAGAAGCTTAGCTTGTTCTGCCTAGGGGTGATGCTGGTGGATGCCAGACCGAAGGCGGTGGCATGAACAGCAACATGCATACCCAGCCTTGCACTACCGCCAGGTAAAGCGGAAACCCACCCAACAAGGGCTTTCAGATAACTCGGTCAGCTCATTCGTGCCGGGTTCTGCAGAACATCAACAGTGGTCTGCGAAAGCGCAGCTTTCAGATCGGAGCCATACAGAGGTGCGCCGCTGAAGATCCTGCAGGTGACTTGACTTGTCACAGCCTTGCCTGAGACAGGAGACGGTGCTCGGTGGTTTCAGTGCCCTTAGCCGAGGCCATGGGAAAGAGGAGTTGCACAAAGTGGTGAGGGATCGTTGCCAGGCCAGATCTTGGCAGCACTGACTGAGACTGCGGAGGCACTGACAGACCCTTCAGCCGGCAATTGCTTGCCGCTTTAGCTGCAAACATCATTGGAATGGGCACGCTGGCGAGACAACTCATGCCTGTCTTTTGAAGGCAGTGGCGGTTGCAGCGTCGTCTTGAGATGCCATGACCGCATAGCCTCAAGGATGCCGGTTGAGCTGCGAAGCTCTCAATGTATGGCTGCACTCTAGGACAGCACCCGAAGGTGTGTTCATCGCGACGAAAAGGATTGTCAGCACACTTTGTGCTTCTGAGGTTGCACCACTATATGTTGTGTTAAGACTATAATTCTCTTGTTCTCGTACCTCCTTGGCCTCATGGTATGGTTTCCAACTGAGGTGCGGGAGAAGGTGATTCCGGAGATGCTACCAAGATGGCGCGCCATCTTGTTTGTCCAGTTTTTGTCCTTTCAGTGTCTTTTGCCTTTGGAATGTCGTTGTGATCATATGTCCTTGGCTTGGCCTGTTCTGCGGAGGTCGCTGCAGTTCAGGTGGTGGTATTCCATCCCGTGAATTGGGTGTGTTGCGATTTTAAATTGTTTTCAATTAGATTCAAATGGGATTTTGATTCGATTTCTGTTGATTTTGGTCAGGTTCTAATTAGATTCCGATTGGGTTTTTGAGTAGGTTTCAATCGGTTTGATTTCGTTTTTAAATTGAGTTGAGGTGGTTTTATCTAGACTGTCATTGAAATTTCAATTGCATTTAATTTAATTTTGATTGACCTTATTACAATTTTGTCACGACTTTATTGCTAGTGAAACCACAGCTGCGAAAGATGTCCTGAGTGTAAGGCCATCTATTCCACGTGGGGTGATTGCGCCGTGAGACAAGTGGAAAGCTTGAGTTCTTCTGCAGAATCCATGGTACTTTAAACATCTTGTGAGATCATTGCAAGAACTGCTGCCCGCTGCACATCGTAAGCAGCGCCAGTCTCCCTGATGTTCATCCAGTCTTCCAAGAACCCAGCATCATCATGCTAGTTACATGTAACTTGCAGAAGACGCCGTTTGGCGAAACTAGCACTCTTGCTCGACTGCCTAGATTTGCTTTTCGTGACGGGTAAATCGCAGCACGACATTGACATCTTGAATCCATCAAAGCAAAAAGACCCATCCACGCACACCCGTTCTGCCCCACCACGGCTCCGAGCCCGGCCCACTTCTCCCAATCTATCTCCTGCCCACTTCTTGCGGATCTGTGGATACCATGTCATGCCAGCACCCTAAAGGAAACACCCCCAAAACATAGTGCATGTCACAGATAAGAGTGTACATTCATTTGCCTTGGGCAGTTCGAGAGCTTGAAGCTGGGCAACGGATGTATCTACATTTTTGGCGAAGACCGTGCATTTTTAAATGCACTTGTGTCGGGTGCGGCAGAATGGCAACGACAATTATCGGGGTTGGAGGATGGCACTTACTGACGCCTATGCCTATGCTGCCTTAGCCATATCTCTGTGAGTTCTATGATTTGCATGAAGGTGGCCTGTGAGCAAGGCTTGAGGACAACACCGTATGTTGGACAGTGCCTCCGAAGAAGCGCTAACGATCGCGCTCCTGAACCAGCTTTCTTCCGCAAGAAGAAGAATCAACTTCCCCGTTCGCTTGTACGCTACCACACAATGCCTTCAGACTCTATGGAACCGTCAGAAAATTCAAACCTCTACCTGGAAATCTTAATCATGAGTCATGAGCACACGACAGATATTCAGACATCATTCTCACTTTATTGGGTGGTAGAGAGTTTCCTGGCAGCTCCACATAGCTTGATGGAAGACATGCCATCTTCGCAATTGAAGGAACAAGATGAGGAAGCGTGTCATTCTACAATAAGGGGAAGGAAGATGCGCTTTTTTGCCAAGTCATGGCGGGAAAGTACGTACAGAACTGAAATCGATACTTAGCAATTGGTCATGGTTTTTGTTAGTGCAGCTAGCTATGGGTCAATGTGACGTGCTGTGGGCTGCACTTTGAATTGTCATCTAGCAAGATGAAAGCTTGTTGCTTTCTGTTTTCATCATTTTGTCTGCGTAATCTCCTCAGCATCTTGTGGCTACAATGTCTGAACATGGGTTATTGCCGACTGCAATTTGCGTTTTGAGCTGCTCGCAGTCCCAAGTCTTCCAAGAGATCGACACCTCCGGCGACGGCATTCTTCAGCTGGAAGAGTTTGTGGCGGGCATAGAGAAGGTGCACGCTCTGGTTCATTTTGGGAAGTTCAGTGCAGCTTGGACCGGTTGTATAGCCGCGTTGGTGAGGTTCACCTGGTTTGTTTGTTTGTGGAATTTGTGTGCGCGTTCCACTCGGCCTGCTGTGCTGCATCAGCTTCTCAATGCTGTCCCTGCTTCCTACATTTCCCTATGCATCTTGTTGGCAGCAGCGTCAGACAAAGTACAGTTGTCTTGGCAACTCATGGTCAGGGCTTGGACGCATTTTCGACTTTGTATAGCACCGTTCCTGATTGATTCGGATGAGTTTTTGCTTGTGAGAGGGGCGAGGCTGTATGGAGCAGTAGTAAAAGCAAACCACAAAGAGCCACAGTTGAGGAAGCAGCATCACCAGCATCATGGAGTCCTGCGGTAAACTGCAGGATCTGTAGTTTCAATCTGCTACCTCAACCACAGACGGGTGCCGGTGACGCACCAGTACAAGCTTGCAAGCTGCCTTTGTAGGAAAGACCAGCCAGTGCCAGTTGCTTGTACTGACCTGCGGATTACAGTTGCCGGGCTTGGACAAGTTGAGCGTTGATGGCCAGCGTTTCACGTCGCAGCCCCAGCTAGTCAGATTTTATTTTTCGATATGGGACTGTGCTGCAGGCACGAAAAGCTTGTGGAGATCTCTAAGATTTTGGATGTGACGCAAGATGGCACTCTGAATTATTTGGAGTTTCAGCAGGCACGTCTTCCTGTCGACGCGCATCTGTTGTTTATCCCTGCAGAATTGTTGTCGGCAGGCTTTCCAGCTCAAGGGACAGGGCACAGCCGACTTAGAAAACAGCCTGGTGGAGGTGTCGACGCAAGAAGAACATCGCTTCTGGTTCCCTGCTTGGCAACGATCCTTGACAGGACCTGACGACGCTTCTTTTCCGCGCGGGCCTGAGGACTAAGCTGCAAATGCCAAAAACCTTGTCGCGAGTGCGGCAGCGCCAATCGCAGATTTTGGGGCACACTGAGCAAGCACGTCCAACTGCTGGTCAGGAGTTGTGCGAAACAAGCTCTCAGAGCCACTTTGGCTTAACGTTGCTAGATTGAGAGTCCTACATGGGCCGTTTGTTTCCTGTTTGCGGCTCTGGCGTTCACCCGAATCCTTGCAGTAAATCCATGCAACTCCCTGGCGCAAAATTTTGGTGGAGTATGCCATCAGATTAGGCACAGCATGAAAGAGTATGGGATGTGACCAGCAAGAAAAGCTGTCCCATCCCCGGCAAAGCTTACAAGCATACTGCAAAGGAAGTGCAGGTAATGTCTTCGAACCTAAGTGCAGCGTTGTTTTCCGGTATAGGCGATCAAAGCAGCAAACCAAACTACACTACAAGTCACAATCACAGTGCGTAGGCAAGTTGAGGGTTATGGTATGGAAGCTCTACACAGTGAGAATTGCAATGTGGCAATGACCATTCGACATCCCGGCAAGTGTACATACAGAGGATGCTCACATGTAGTGTCGGGTGTGTCGTCGAGTCCCCGCACGTGCGTATATGCATTAAATTGTATTGTCTGTACGCTCGACACTCCACAATGGACGTGGTGGTCTTGCCAGTCATCATCTTGAACGGCACAAGATTGTCAGCTCCTCTTGGATGTAGGTGGTAGTCGCGGCCGCGGCGGTGGTGGCGGCGGATTGAATGGAGCAGAAGTGAGAGTATGCTCAGCGCTTGCCTAACGGCCCGATCAGATAAGAGGGGTACTCCTGCTCAAAGCACATCGTCTACAAGGCAAGCCCGCCACCTGCATTGCGGCAGGCATGTCGGCAAGAAAGCTTACAATCCTCGAAGCCACGCCTTGATAACAACCTTCCGCAAACAGTCAACTGCAACAGTACAGCGCGAAGCAGACAACATCATCCCCTCCGCAGCCGGCAGTGTGAGGCTGCTGGAATGGCTAGCGCGCTTCCCTCGGATCCCTCCTCAGGTACTTAGTGCCCGTGGCAGCGCACACACCGGGTTCCACTCACTATATTCACTATCATCACGACCTAGCTGCATCCTCCGCCGCTGGCACACCTCTGCGCACCACCCGGTCTTGGATGTATGTTGTCATCTAGCAGAGTTCGGCAGTCCTCCGACTGCGCCAGCCAAGACTGCGCCCTGCCAGTCATTATTTTGACGAAGTTCTGCATGCAAACGCATACGAGTAGCACCGGGGTCAAGCATCCACTCCTTCGGCAAGCTGCTACCTGCCACCTAGCAGCCTGACAGATTGCTGCCGTCCTCCGAATCTGACCGCTTGCCTTCCCCGTGTTTGGCCTTGCTGTCTTCCTACTTCGTCCAGTGCCTTCATGTGTGTGTGAATGCATGGGCCATAATTTTAATGAAGAGCTGCATGTCGTCCCAACCATCCACCACATTCAGTCGTGTCATGGCCTCCGGGATGAACTCATTGCTTGACATGGGGCCTTCTGCTGAGCGGCCAGGGGGTGCTGAGATACCGCTACTGGGGACTCAAGCCTTGCATGGACCGACAGCGCCTTGACTTGAGACAGCAGTACGGCAAGGATCGGTGCTGAACCCTTGCACGGGGGACTGGTGGCGAGCGATGTTGGCAGGAGAGCACTGGCGGGGGAGGAGGGCCATGGTGGAGGGGCATTGGTCAAGAGCGGTTGCGGGGGGACGAGAGCGTTATCACCTGGAAGAGCGGGAGGCAAGCTGATGGTTAGCGAGAGAGGGATCTCGAGGGAACGAGAAGAAGACGCGAAAGAAATGTATAACAAGGCTGCGAAAGGTTCTGAGAACAGGAGGAAGAGGATGGGGCTCAGGGAGGTGAAGCCCACACCCATTCCAGCGAGGCATGCCTTTCGTTTGGCTGAAGCAGCGCTTAACATTGCGTCGATTCACCATGTTGCGTTCGTGCATGTAGGTGAGGCCTCTCATTAAGTTTGGGCCGTGAATGTCAAAATGTTGGCACTAGCAAAGATAAGGTATCTTCGCCAGCAAACTGAGAGCTTTCAACGGTTGTGCTGGATGTTCATTTTGCCAGCAGGAAGTCCGCCAAGCCACTTTTTGCCGCGGCGCAGGTTTCTGAATCCTTGAAACACACATTCTTGTCAGATTGGAACACTGCGAGTCTGACCTTAAATTCTTTATCCTCCTTTCTCTGAAATCCTTGCGTTCTTGGGCGGTTTTGCGCATCTTGCACCTCAACAGCAATTTTCCAATGTTTCCCGCTGGCTGCTGGAAGCTGTAGACTCCGGTGCCTGCTGTTGCCCAGGCTACAGGGTACACATTCGGACGGGCTGCCAGTTTCTTGACGAAGTCGACAGTTGCAAGGTGCTGAATGAGGCCTTGCTCTGCTCAACACTGTGCAATTGATGTATGCAGCTCCAACTCATATGAACAGATCTGTTGCAGACCAGCGTTCTAGCCAGGATTTTGAGAATGTGCTACGTGGAGTGAACAACGCGCTGCATTCGCCTCCGCCTTATAGTTTGCCGCGCCCAAGTGTTGATGATGGTCGTCTTTGCATCCTGAGGAATGAACAAGGAATCTCAGAATCGCAAATCAAGCACCTCTCTTCTGCTCTGACTGTGGAGGACTTGAGAATCTTGAGAAGATGCATGAATCTGTCAGTCAGCGTACGTGGAGCTTCGCAGAAACTTGTGTTGGTAGCCACGGGCCCTGCATTGCCTGGGAAGGGTTTCTGCATGATCATGCGGCATCTCTTTCTTGGTATGATGAGAAGGTTTGGGAAGGGTGGCCTCCTGACATGAAAATTGACATGGGTCAAAGGGTAACCCCGTAGATGCAAAAACAAGTGGAGAGGCTGGCCGGAGGACAACTTGCAGCATGGACGAAAGCAACTGAGCAGACAGCATGTCTGATTTGACCTCTCAAATCTCTCAATCGCTGGCCTAAGGCCATGTAGAAAATTCTTCGCCGCCCTAACAAGTATGCCTTGAACGAGGTAAGAGGTTTGGAAACAGCAGCAAGAAAGTTTGCTGGCTTCAACTTTCATACGCAACCTTGCAGCCAGATCCAAGGCGGAACCCCTGATATTAGGACATGTAAGCTTCTTCGCATCCGGACTCATGACGAGGGCTTTGTGTTTGATATCGGGCGCGGCTCCAAATTCGGTGGCCAATGTCACAACATGCTGTTCTGCACACGATGCAGCGCAGGTAGTGGTTTTGGCGTTGGTGTTGCGGTGGTCCAGGTCGTGGTGATGGTAATGTGATGGTCATGCTGGAGTATAGCGGTAGTGGCGGAAGAGGTTGTGCTATGGGCACTGGGCGGAGTGATTGTCATGTGTGTGGTATTGATGGTGGCGCGGCAGCAGGCGGTAGGTGAAGCAGAAGGAGCAGGACTCTGGAGCACGCTCCGGCTCTGCGTGGAACAAAGATCCCAGGGTGTGGGGGGCTCAATTCCTAAGCTTCAAAGCGCCAGGAGTATTCTCGAGTAGCAGAGCCATTGACCACCATTTAAGACTCAGGCTTGTCAACGTGGTTGTGCACCAGAAGCTTGTTTGGAAGTAAGATAGTGGTGATCACGGGTGCTCAATGTGCTTATGCTGAAGCCAAAGTTTTCGGGCAGAAGCCGGAAATTCCATCTCACACCTGGCTAGTATTCTTTTGCCGACAGTTTTGGATTTCATCTTCCTGTTGCGATCAGCTGTCCTCTCTGTACCCGGGACTTGGTTTTGACGGAAAGCAACATGCAAGCTCACCCGTCGTGTTCGAACCCGAAGCACTACGAAAGGCTGGCCTACAGGCCTGCAGGGTGCTTGACTTAAGGCATCAAGCGCAGGCAAAAGGCGTCTCACGAGCGCGTCACCCTGGGGATTCCCATGTTGTACCACGTCTTTTGCATATCATATCATATCGTCTGGCGCGAGTCTCGAGGGCGTCCACACTGCGTTTCCTAGGTTTCTCCGCCTTTCAGGCCATTTATTTACAATTAGTATCGCGCTTAAGGCGTTCCGTGCTGTGTGAAGTCTGCCGTCGTATGCCTGGGGATTCTCATCAATGACCGTAGTTTCTGAACATCTTCATTATTGTTTTTATACTTGCAAGCGCTTGCGCATTGGGATTCCTATCTAGGGCCACAGCGTGGTACAGTAAATATGGTATCGGTAACATTGGAATGCCAGACATGATAAGGACGTCTACATGGGATTTGAATCCCGTGGGGTGCCTTCTGCCTTCGGGGATGTCTTTTGCCGCCAGGGGCGTCTAAGGGCAGTAGGGTGCCTTTTGCCGCATGGGGTGCCTTATGGTGCTCACTTGCACCATGAACACCAAAGGTTAGGAGAAGATTCGACGGACTGCAGGCATCAACATGCCAAGAATGCAATCCTATTGCGAGCTTGCCAAGATTTTTCAGTTTGCAAGCGCATGCAGGTCCCTTGTGCGCTCATCCAACCGCAGAATCCATCCCCATTCCTCTGCGGTGAGCTTGCGCTCTGAAGCATTCTCTCATTATCCTCTAGCTGTGAAGCGTATGACAGCGGTCTGGAGTAGATTTTCTTTCTCAACAATCCAGCGCACGACGTCGGTGAACAAAAAACAGTCCGCAAAAGCTAAAATACGTACAGCAAATGCGAGGCTGGTGGAACCAATTTAGCCCGTGATTTGAAACCTCACTTGAACCGACAGTCGTACTCCTGAGCGTGTAACAGCATTGTGACGGGCCAGAGAAAGCCTTGGCAACCGTGCAAGAATTCCGAAGCCTCCTGAAAAAATCGACTTTCGCCGCAGGATGAGGAAGGGCCAACCATTGGCTATGATGCTTTCCTCAGGTGGGGTTTGACTCGTGTAAGTTTACTTGCAAATTGCTATGCAGCTCTCGCTTCGAGGTCTTTCGTCATTGTGGACACATCGGATGGGAGTGTGATCAAGTCGTTTCACTAGGTCAGCTTTCCGGGAGAGCTGTTCATGTACCGCAGAATGGTGTATTGTACCACATAATCCAAAAGTCGTCAAAGCTGCACGTCCAGAGCGGCTCTCGCATAATAGTTCTCACTTCCTCTCGCAGAGGATCTGCTTGCCCCATCGTGCAACGGGGGGATGCAAGCACTTGATAAGCCTCCGAATGTAAGCTTGTCCACAGCCATCCACGGCCTCAGTTACAAAAGGCAGTGGGCTCCAACAGGCCGCAAGATCAACAAGACGTTGGTTGCCTAGACATCAGTGTCACCCTGGGCAATGTGCCACATGCCACGAAGTGGCCTGGCTACATCCAGCTGCGGAGGACACTTTGCCAGGAGAAGGAAAGGTCTCACAGGATGACTTCAGCTGACTTGTAGGAATCCCGCTCAGCCATTTTCAATCCAACCTTTGTCCCGCAGCAGCGCGCCACCACTGTGCAGTAGCAACACGTAGTTCTTGCACCTCCCAACTCCCAACAGCCATGATGAGCCTAAGCTGCACATCACGCGACTCTTCAACTTTCGGAGTTGCGAAACTGTACAACCCAGGTACCAGCAGTCCCCCATGCTGCTCGATGACCCTGATACGCGGGCGTCTATGGTGTCTCTGTCTGAGGCTTGACATTTCCATGTTTGAGGTTTCAGGCCTTAGACTTGTGGGCCTCTGCAGCTTTGGGACTATCATTGCCCATTTCTGGGCACCTCGAAGTTGGGTGCTTCTACAGGGCCTTCAGACTAAGCTACTACCGCTACAAAACCCAGGTGCGAGTTTGCACCTTTCACCTTATTGTGCATAGCAAACGATGTTCAGAGTCATCCCTTGCTCTTCGGATTGATGATGCCTAACTCCTACTCATCCGATAGCCTTGTGTGCATTCACAAGAGTGAAGCCCAAAGTGGAGTCCTCCAGATTACTCTACTGAGCCTCTCGCATCATTTTTCGGAGATCGGATTTGTTCAGGGCTGGTAGGGGCTGATCGCAGCAACATCATTTTCATCGCTCCAGGTAAGTGCTGTAACAATGCCGTGTCAGGATGCAGCCTTTTGCAGCCATTCCTGTGTGAGGGGTGATTCATAAAGAAAAGAGTGAGATTTCAAAGCAAATTGAAGATGTGACATGGTGCACGCGAGGCATTGCTGGGCACGTGACCAGACAGATTCTTGCCCTTCCTGGAAAATCTGCATCGATTCAGAGTCCATTGCGATTGCCCAAGCCTAGATTTGTGGATTTAGGATTTGCTGGCCTCACCATCAACCACCAAAAACAGGCAGCTGGCAGGGTTGGAAGTAAAAGAAACCCATCGGAACAGTGGAGTGTAACAGGAACCAGGAAAGGTTCCGTAACAGGAGCCGGCCTGTTTCCGTAACATGCTGGCTGCGCCAGGCGTAACGGGAACCAGCCCAGGATTGGGTAGCTAGACCTCTCTTGCTCGGAGTCTTTCGGGGACCGATCTATCCTATCAAGCCTCAAACCGAACCAGAGCCCCATGCGTTTTTTTTTTTGAATTTTGAACCTCAAGTTCACCTTGTGACAGCAGCCCTGAAAAGCCAAATCCTTATGTGTTTCAACGCCTTGTAGAAGGATTCTTGGGATTAATGCTGGCTCCGCAGTCAAACCCCCTTGATTAATCAATCTCCATGTTTTGGGGGGGGGGGCCCTTGAATAGTAATGCCAAAACTTGTATCCGTAGTAGTAGTAGTAGTAGTAGTCGTAGTAGTCGTGGTCGTGGTCGTGGTCGTCGTCGTCGTCGTCGTCGTCGTCGTAGTAGTAGTAGTAGTAGTAGTTGTAGTTGTAGTAATAGTAGTAGTAATCGTAGTACTAGTAGTACTAGTAGTAGCAGAAGTAGTAGTAGTAGCAGTAGTAGTAGTCGTCGTAGTAGTAGTAGTAGTAGTAATAGTAGTAGTAGTAGTAGTAGTAGCGCCAGCAGCAGCAGCTGTAGTATTAGCAGTTGTCTATGTCTACTACTACTACTACTACGACGACTACTACTACTACTACTGCTACTACTGCCACTACTACTACTACTCCTACTACTACTACTACTACCACTACTACTACTACTATACTACTACCACTATTATTACTACTACTACGTACAAGTGGTAGCATCAGGAAAACAACGAGTTGAATCTGGAATGGTAGCAGTGCAGTGGAAGCAGTGTGAATTTAGAATGAGTTGCAAGAAAGTTGCAAAAAAGGTTGTCATGGGGGAGGCCGATTTTGGGTCCCCCACTTCGCGAGGTTCGGGTCCTGGGACTGCTATTCTGGTATCGGTTTCGGTTCCTTTCCACTGTGGTTTCGGTTACGTTCCCACTGATTTTTCTGCTACGGTTGCGCTGGTTCCCGTGACAGGCTCGGAAAACTGGTTCAATAGCTTTCCAACAGGTTGTCCATACCAACTCTACATGGGCATCGCCCGAGAAGAAAAAAAAAACAATCTTCCGCGAAAGGTCGCGATGGT